CTCGGTGGTGGGGTCCCCAATCAGACTGGGTGGGGGTCCCCATGGGAGCAGTGTGGGGTCCCAGGGCAGGACATGGTGGCTGGGTGGGGGTCCCAGTGGGGGTCCCAGTGGGGTCTGTGTGGGGTCCCTGGGTCGGTCATGGTGCCTTGGGTGGTGGGGTCCCCCATCATACTGGTTGGGGGTCCCCATGGGGTCTGTGTGGGGTCCCAGAGCAGGACACGGTGCCTTGGGTGGGGGCGTCCCCAATCAGACTGGGTGGGGGTCCCCGTGGAGTCCCAGAGCAGGACATGGTGGCTGGGTGGTGGGGTCCCCCATCATACTGGTTGGGGGTCCCCATGGGGACAGTGTGGGGTCCCTGGGCGTGAACACAGTGCCTGGGGGTGATGTCCCCATGGGGGCTGTGTGGGGTCCCAGAGCAGAACATGGTGGCTGGGTGGTGGGGTCCCCCATCATACTGGTTGGGGGTCCCCATGGGGACAGTGTGGGGTCCCTGGGCGTGAACACAGTGCCTGGGGGTGATGTCCCCATGGGGGCTGTGTGGGGTCCCAGAGCAGAACATGGTGGCTGGGTGGTGGGGTCCCCCATCATACTGGTTGGGGGTCCCCATGGGGACAGTGTGGGGTCCCTGGGCGTGAACACAGTGCCTGGGGGTGATGTCCCCATGGGGGCTGTGTGGGGTCCCAGAGCAGAACATGGTGGCTGGGTGGTGGGGTCCCCCATCATACTGGTTGGGGGTCCCCATGGGGACAGTGTGGGGTCCCTGGGCGTGAACACAGTGCCTGGGGGTGATGTCCCCATGGGGGCTGTGTGGGGTCCCAGAGCAGAACATGGTGGCTGGGTGGTGGGGTCCCCCATCATACTGGTTGGGGGTCCCCATGGGGACAGTGTGGGGTCCCTGGGCGTGAACACAGTGCCTGGGGGTGATGTCCCCATGGGGGCTGTGTGGGGTCCCAGAGCAGAACATGGTGGCTGGGTGGTGGGGTCCCCCATCATACTGGTTGGGGGTCCCCATGGGGACAGTGTGGGGTCCCTGGGCGTGAACACAGTGCCTGGGGGTGATGTCCCCATGGGGGCTGTGTGGGGTCCCAGAGCAGAACATGGTGGCTGGGTGGTGGGGTCCCCCATCATACTGGTTGGGGGTCCCCATGGGGACAGTGTGGGGTCCCTGGGCGTGAACACAGTGCCTGGGGGTGATGTCCCCATGGGGGCTGTGTGGGGTCCCAGAGCAGAACATGGTGGCTGGGTGGTGGGGTCCCCCATCATACTGGTTGGGGGTCCCCATGGGGACAGTGTGGGGTCCCTGGGCGTGAACACAGTGCCTGGGGGTGATGTCCCCATGGGGGCTGTGTGGGGTCCCAGAGCAGGACATGGTGGCTGGGTGGTGGGGTCCCCAATCAGACTGGGTGGGGGTCC